CTTGGGGACAGGATCATGTTTGTACCAGATGTGTCCCAGCTCCAGAGGAATGTGATTAAGGTCACCTAGAGAGGCTCTTATGGGGTCACACCAAGCACTGCAGCACCTGCTCCCCCAGAGAGCGGGAGCAGGACGGGGTATCCCTCCTCGAGAGGGGGAGCAATGCAGGGTAGGGGGTATTTATCTGTTCTGGGGACCCTGCTGGCTCCTGTCTCACTTCAGCCATCAGCAGCATCGAGCCTGTCACCCTGCAGCACAGAGCACTGCCCTTGCATGCTGCAGAGCTCAGGCCAAAGGTGGCTGTGCCCCTGCTTAATCTGACCACAGCAGGAAAACCTTTTTATCCTGTCCAGGCACAAGAATGGCCTCCAGGCCTGCCCTTGCTCTGTAGGTCAGGAAAACAGGATGTCTTCTTCATTTTCAGCCTAAGCACAAGAGCAGAGAGCTGGAACAGACTGTCCCAGAGGGCGGCTGCTGAGAAGGTCCATCCCACTGTCACTGGATGCCACCCCTTGGCCTCTGAAGTATCTTCCTGAGCTGTGCCACTGGGGCCAGCACCAGCTGTGACCTTCTACCAGCCCCATCTGCACTTCGCCATGCTGGATGGACCAAAAGCATAATCAGGTATCTCCAGCTCTCTCTGCAGAAAGGGATCCCAGACTTGTTCCCCCAGCCAGACCCTTTCCTCCAGCCCCTGGCAGCAACAAACCAAGGTTCTCTGCCATGACTCCCTTCATACTGCTGCAGATTTGCCTGGGGACACAACATATCTGTGTGTGGCTTTTACACCTTGGTCACAAGAAATGCAGTCCTGGCGGCAAGATGGTTGACTAAGAGAGCTGAGCTGCACAAGGCTATAATTACAGAAGGAACAAGCGAGGATGAGGCCAGCCAAGCACATCCACCTAATTTCCTCTCCTACTAAGCCTGCCCTGCTTTTGTTTGACCCAGACCAAGCCTTGCTATTAATGGCGTGATGTTGTAGAGGTCACAGATGGCTCTGTTACAAACAGCATTACAGATTCTGCTTAACTGAGTGTATAAGCAGGGCTTTGCTCACAGATACCATTACTGCCAGATTCAAGCTGTAGAAAGTGTGTCAGCCAGCTGTGGTGCAGTGGTTTCTGAGGCTGGGCTGTTTTACCAGGCATGGGTAGCTCTCTGTCTCCGACTGCACGATAAATCCAGGCAGGCAAGCAAGGAGGTTAAACAGCGTCTTATCACTACCCCTGGCCGTCGCCAAGGTCTGCTGATGGGTGCTGGAAGCCAGAGCTCAGGACATTTCCTCTTCCTGATCTCTCACATGCAGCTTCAGCCTGCAAAATCATTTCTATGCTATCTCCTCTCTGTCAGGGCGCCTCTTTTCAAGGTGCATTTCAGGGCTGAAAAGTGAGTCCAGCTCAGAGCACCAGGAGCTGGCCCCAGCATCTGACCACCTGTCCTTGCTGGGGACGAGAGCCTGTCACAGCAGACACCTGCCACTCCCCAGCCTCTCCTACTCCCCCCACCCCCCTGAGCCCCCAACCTTACAGCAGCGTTGCCCCTCTCTGCAGGGGAGCTCACATGAGCTGTCTCTGCACAGCAAGGTCAGTGTGCGCTGGGACAGGGGAACCTTGTACTGTCACAGGAGCAATGTTCTAGCGTTGTCCCCAGTGGAGAGTTTCCAACCAGGGGCCCCTGGTTCCCTCCAGGGTTCTGACTCCAGGCAGGAGGGCTGAGCAGGACCCTGTCCAGCTCTCCAAGGCCAGAACTTGCTCATGGAGCAGAGCTGAAACATGACAGTAAAGGCCCCCACTCCCATGGTCAGCCAGGTGGAGGTAGAAGAGGAACTGTCAGGGTGAGACCCAAGTTCCAGGGAAGCTGTCCCTGTCAGAGGTTTCTAATAGGATTTGCTCCCATTTTGCCTTCTCACTCCGTTGAGGCACAGTTCACTTTCCCTAAGGGTTTGGGGAGCAGTCCCAGCACAGGCACCTCAGAGAGCCAGAGGGCAGAAGAGCCCTGCAAGGACAATACACCCGGATTGACACAACAGAAGCACAAGGCAGCAGGCAGGCAGTGAAATGCCCAAGCCTATGGAGCAGAGGAGCTTGCCAGGCAAGTCTCTGGGACAAATTCAGGGCTGTGCACAGGAGTACTCACTTGTGTCAAAGAAACACACTATCCAAGCCCATGCCCAGGATCCAGGATTCCTGTGAGAGAAGCATCGTTTGCAAAGACCTGTATGAGGAAGAGGGGCTATAGGGAGCTGCATCTGTCCCCTGTAGCTCTGTGACAATGCCTGTGAGGCTGGCAACCGGCTCCAGGAAAGGCTGGCTCTGTCGTGAGGGACATGTCTGAACCTGCCGTTCCCATGGGGAGCAAGGTTTGTGTCTGTGACTGAGGAGGACAGGTTCCTTCTCTGGCAGGCAGAAGTGCCCATTTCAGCCCTTTCTCCTCTCCTTGGTGCTTCTCCTGATGCTGGTGAGTCCCTTCTTTCGAGTGATGCAGAGGGGAGGTGGATGGAGAGCAGAAGGGGGCAGAGAATGTGGGGCTGGAGCCACGGCAGGGGTGTGCGGTGCTGCCGGTGCTCAGCAGTACTCCCTGCTGGTCCTCGGCATCTGCTGCAGTGACGTGCAGTGCCGGATGCTCTTTAGCTGGTCTCTGGGGCTTCGTGCGCAGGCATCTTCACCCTCAGTATCAGCTCTGCTCCCCTCAAACCGCTGCAACTCACTTTTAAACGAAGCCAGTTGCAGACAGGTGTTGGGGAAGGTGGATGCCACTGAAGTTGCTCTGTCCCCTGCCTGCTCACAATGCAAGGAATGTGCTGTGCTGCCACCTCATGCCATTCTTACCTGCCCTCTCAGGTGCAAGGCTCACAATCTCCTCCTTACCGGGAAGAGGAAAAATGAGGAAAAATATTTTAATGACACTTGCGTGCCTAGAAAGCAGACAGAGCCCAGGGAAGGACTACCAGGCATACAGATGAAGGGGAAACTTTGCCAGTGGCACTGGTTACCATTTTTGTTGTGGGATGCTCTTAGCCAGCAACTTCCTTAACTTCTCAGCCAAACAGCCATGGGAACGGGTGCCAGTGGTATCTCACAACAGAGAAGTGCCAGTCCCTCCTGACTGCAGAGAATAAAAACAGCTGGAGAAGATAGCTTGAGCATACTTGAACCCAGTGGCAGAAACACAAACCCAAATAGTTTGCCTAAACACACAATAGTTTAAAATAATACACTTGATATTTTTGGAACTGACCTCCTATTTTTAGTTTCCCAGACAGTCAAGGGTGGCTGCTTATTCTTGTAAAGATAAACCTCTTCTTTAACAGCAAAGAGGTGGGAGAATCTGCTAGTCAGAGTGCAGATCTGGTCTGGCATGACCAAGTACCCTTCTATGGAAAAAGAGGACACTCGCCTCCTTCCCACAGCATCCCCCAGAGCAGCCAGAGGGCTGCAGACATCCAGGCTGTTCTCCACTCTGCATCCCCTGACATGTCTCTCTCCCTGTGCTGCACTAGCATGATCCCTGGCATGGCAGCACCCAGCAGCCTCTACCTCTCAGGTTCTGCAGAAGTGGGAGTACCCTTCTGAGCTCACCCCTTACAGCTTCCTCACTCCTTCTGCCCCAGCTCATCCCTGTTGCCCTACTCCCCACTCACCTGCTGTCTTCTCTCCAGCAGGTGAGAAGCAAGACCAAGACCAACTCATTTGAGCTGGCCACATGTCCCGTCCTTCAAAGCAGCACAGCAGCCTTTGCCTGCTGGCTGAGCCCATGGCCCTGAACCAAACCAGACCCCTGCAGCAATCCTGCCAGCACCAGCCCATGCATCTCATCCTGGTGCAGTGCATGTTCCAGTGCATCTGGGGCTCAGGTCTGTGTGGGTGAGCTGCAATCCCAGATACCTCCTCTCCATCACCGTGTTCACCCATGGAGACCCTCTACTCTGCCCTGGAGAGGGAGATCGGCACCTTCGTGGGACATGTGCAGCAGTGCCAGCAGGACTTTGACCTGTGCAGCCTGTACCGGGTGCTGCTGCTGGTGCTGCCACAGAGCCCGTCGGGGCAGGGG